AGGGTTAATTTTAAAAATTTTATAAACAAGGGTTAATTTTACTGAAATGATTTTATTTAGTAAAATATAAGTATAGATTAACAAAATCCACCACAAAAACTGAAGTGCAGATGCAGTTTCCCAAAATAACTACAGTGAGGAAAATAAGTATTTGAACACCCAGCGACTTTGCAAGTTCTCCCACTTAGAAATCATGGAGGGGTCTGAAATTTTCATCTTAGGTGCATGTCCACTTTGAGAGACAATCTAAAAAATAAAAAAAAAATCCAGAAATCACAATGTATGATTTTTTTAAATAATCTATTTGTGTGTTACTGCTGCAAATAAGTATTTGCACACCTGTGAAAATCAATGTTAATATTTGGTACAGTGCCTTTGTTTGCAGTTACAGAAGTCAAATGTTTCCTGTAGTTTTTCACCAGGTTTGCACACACTGCAGCAGGAATTTTGGCCCATTCCTTCACACAGATCTTCTCTAGATCAGCCAGATTTCTGGGCTGTCACTGAGAAACATGGAGTTTGAGCTCCTTCCAAAGATTTTCTATAGGGTTTAGGTCTGGAGACTAGCTAGGCTACTCCAGAACCTTGATATGCTTCTTATGGAGCCACTCCTAGGTTATTCTGGCTGTGTGCTTTGGATCATTGTCATGTTGGAAGACCCAGCTATGACCCATCTTGAATGCACTAACTGAGGGAAGGAGGTTGTTCCCCAAAATCTCGCAATACATGGCCCCGGTCATCCTCTCCTTAATACAGTGCAGTCGTCTTGTCCCATGTGCAGAAAAACACCCCCAAAGCATGATGCTTCCACGCCCAAGCTTCACAGTAGGGATGGTGTTTTTGGGATGGTACTCATCATTCTTCGTCCTCCAAACACGGCGAGTAGAATTAAGACCAAAAAGTTCTATTTTGGTCTCATTTGACTACGTAATTTTCTCCCATGGACTCCTCTGGATCATCCAAATGGTCATGGGCAAACTTAAGATGGGCCTGCTGAGTTCGGTTTGGTCATTCGGCGCACTCAGTTCTATTAACGGGGTGGGGCGCCCTGACGTATTACGTCATGAAATTAGCATATCTTTTTTTTTCCGGGCAAGCTTTTTTTTTTTACCGGTATTATCGTGAACAATATGATATGGCCCAGAACTAGTTGTAGATGTTCATCCAGTTGCTTTCTGAGTTATTTTAATCTGACCAGTGGTTCATGAGATTTTACTAACAGACAGTGTTGATGATAGTTAACAGTTGATGGCAACATTTGCACAAAGATCTTGCACAATGTACATACATGCAAACACACAAGGGATGGAAAAAGGTGACAAACCTAGCACCTGTAGTGTGTGTATGTGTGTGTGTGTGTGTATGTGTGTGTGTGTGTGTGTGTGTGGGGTGGGGGGGTGGGGGGGGGGGGGGGGGGGGGGGGGGGGGG